CCCACCCGAGGGCACTTCACACATCCATAGCTTGTCCCCTGTGTGGAAAGAAACTTTCTTATTGGTTTATTCACCCTAAAAATTGAAAGTAATACGTGGTCTTTATTTTTTTAAACGTCGCACACAGTGAAGTGGGGGCAGAAACCACCTGAACCCCACTGCCGGCAGCCTGTGACAGTATTTCTAACATTTTTTTTCTATTTCTTTTAACACACTTGAGGTCACAATGTACATATGTAATTTTGTTCCTTGCTTTTTTCACTTTACCTTTTATTGTATGTATTTTTTCTGTTATTGAAGCTTTATTATTTAAATCAGTGTGTATTTAACCCTTGACTAGCAATCCCACAGAGAATTGTCATACCTATTTCTCTTACTATTTTGAAGATAGATGATAATTTCTGCATTAAGTATTGACAAAACTGGTTTTATTAACTTTTATATTGCATTATGTTATATATTATACATACTACTTTATATTAATCCTAAGAATTAATGTTTAATTTCTTAAAATATATGATAAATTAGCAGCCTGGAGGTTCAGCAGAGATGGGATTGAGCTAATAAATTGCAGTGCGTCCACACCTTGGATGCAGTGCTCTGCGGCTTTTGAACAGGGCACTTGGGTTTCTGTGTGACACAGACCACAGAGGCCACAGGGGGGCCCTAAGGGAGCCATGCATGGGCAGTGAGGGTGCGAGGCCCTGGGGTCAGCTGTGAGGGAGGTTCCAGGCTCTGCTGCCTGGACCATTCCAGGGAGAAAGGACTGGTGATGGATTAATCATTTATCTGCTGCAGGGCTCTGTGAGGCAGCCAAGTCCTTTGTAGGGTGTCGAGCACATGGTCAGGCTTTGACAGAGGTCAGCTCAGTGTTTAATTCTAACTCTTCTGCTGTATGTACATAGGGGTCAGTCTGTAAAATGCTGAACATTGGTTACTCCAAGAGGTGGAATTGGGGTATTTTCTAAACTTTCATTTTCATGAAAGTTCATCTTATTGATTACATTTTCAGAGACTCATGTTAATTTTTATAATGAGGAACACAGAGCGTTACCATTTCAGAAAAAAAGCCAGCATTAATGGTGGCATGATACGATATTTTATGGAGGCACGATAATTTACTGACCCATGGTCTGTTGTTGGACATTTAGGTGGTTCCCAGTTACAGGAAAAGCTGCAGTGAGGAGCAGCTTTATGGCTCAGTTTTTCACGCTTCCTGACTTGTTTTGCTAGGCTAGATTTTCCAGGTGTGGAGTTACTTTGTCAAAGAATGCAGAATTTAATAGTTTTTATTGTACAGGTTAATAAATTCCAGTAAAAGGTATTAACATATATGCATATGGTTTTATGTTTATAAAAATATTTCTTAATGTTGGAATATATTGCAGCTCTGGCCCGGGGTAGGTTTCTGTTCTGCTGCAAACATTTTAGGGTTCCTGATCGATTTTGCCAAAGTATAGCAACACTTATTACTTAATCATTGTGAGCATCAAACTCTCTCCTGTTCAAGGGTTCACAAGCTGCATCTCCAATGCAGTCTGACCCCTTAGCGTCCTGTTATCTTTAATCAGGTTTGCTGTGTGAGACTTGTCCTGGGGGCGACTCCAAGCCTCCATGTAGTTGCAGGAGGTGTTAGAGTCTAGAATCTGGATGATCTCTGTCAAATTTTGAATTCTAGGCTGGTGTCCCTTCAGTACTTGATGTTTCTTAGAATACCTTTTCTTGCTGCTAAACTCAAATACTAAGAAACTGAAATTACTTTTGACCATAACCTGAGAAAGTTATACTTTTCGGTGAGAATGTGCATTTGCCCCTCTCCCAAGTGATTGGCATGGGCCATCACCTGTTGGTGCCTCGGGATGATAATTAACCTTCTGTGCCTGACTTGCTTTGTGCTGGGATGCTAGGTGGTGGCTGAACCCAGGGGTCTTTCACCAGGATCCCAGCTCTTAAATCCTCTCACCATTTTAGGCCAGGGTCTCGCCTGTGGCACTGTTGACATTTTGGGCAATACAACTCTTTGTTGTGGGCCCTGCCCTGTACTTTGTGGGCTGTCTGGTAGAACCTTTGGCCAATACCCTCAGATGCCAGTACCCTCCCCAACCTGCATCCCACCCTCAGTTGTGACACCAGATTTTCACATGTTCCTGGTTGAGACTCCCAGGAGCATAATGCAGCAGCCACCTAAGGACCAGTGTGTAGAGCTGTGCAGCCCAGCAGCTCCACCCCACCCCTTTGGGTGCTTGGGCCCTGCCCAGGGCCAGCCCCACTGACTTTTAGCAAGTGCCATTTTATAAAACTGTAGAAGGCTATGGGGTCCTTGAAGCCTTCCTGGAAGTATAGGTTGCAGGGAGAGCGTCTAAGTGAGACTCACCTGTCACAGCTCGGCTTTCTGGGCTCTCTGTAGTCACCAGAGGAGCTGAGGGTGGGCCTAGGGATGTGGTTTACACGTGCATTCACACACACACAAACTCAGGTACGTACCATCACACAGGTACACACTCAACACCATAGCACTTGCACAAAACGTGGACGTGTGTGTGCACATACAACACATGCATATACATACACATGTGCACACACACAGAACTCGCTGGACACCTCCCACACACTGCTGTCCAGGGAGCCTTGCTTCAGAGGGTCCCATGTGGTCGTCGGGGCCCCTTAATTGTTTTCCACCTCCTTCCCGGAGAGTAAGGAGTTCACAGGTAAAAGGACTGGAAAGAAGGATCTCATGGTTTTTCAGTTTGTGCACTTGGGGACTTTGTTTCTGATGTAATGATAAACCAGGGGAAAGATGAAATATAGTGGTCTTGCCAATGTCCCCTCATTTACTGGTTATGTTCACGAGGACAAAGCTGGAAGAGGGAATAAAAAGGGTGAAATTATTATCGGTGTTGGGATTCTGCACTGCAGATGTGGGCGTCATTGAAACCACCCGGACTTCCCTGAAAGGTCGTCTTTGGCTCGGCCACAGACATTTGTCATTGACCCTCGTGTCACTTCCTGTCCTTGCAGTGACTTGACCAACGGTGCAGACGGGATGCTGGCCACGAGCTCCAGCGGGTCTCAGTACAGCGGGTCCCGGGTGGAGACGCCCGTGTCCTACGTGGGGGAGGATGACGAGGATGACGAGGACGACGAGGACGACCAGGAAGACTGATGCTTTGCGCAGCCTGCGCGCCCCGGCCAGCGCCAGGGAAACACGTTGAGGGAAGGGAAGCTTTTCTTAATGTGGGCTTTTCTCTTCTTTTTGGCCTCCTCCCAAGAAGATATTAGTCAGCTGTTGGATTTGACGTGCACCTCTGATAAGCAAGCGAGGGCTGTTTTCTGCAGGGTCTCAGACGGGCTGCGGTGAGTGTGGATTCCAGTCTGCCGGCGCAGGGCTTTTATTTACTTTGTAGGATTTTGTGTTTTCATTTTCTATTTTTTTAAAATTCAGAGTTCCTTTTTGCCCCTTAACAATTCTTGCTGAGTTTGCTGAAGAAGTTGTACTCCATCTACATCAACGAAAACACTGTCATTCTCTCGAGGCCTCTCCTAGTGCCACTTTTATGCTGTTGTGAGTGGTGCCGCCCACTGGCAGAGTGTGAAGCTCCAGGACGAGTTTCCACTTGTGAAATTCTGTGGCGTCCAACAGAACCCAGCAAATGGCAGATCTCTGCTTTTTAGCATTGAGCACCATAAATCCTATTAGGACTGTTTCTCTCTTAAATTATATCTACTGTTTGATTCCATTAAGCTTATACTTTTTCTTTCTTTTTTGGTCTTTGTTGCAGCAAACACATTGCTAAGTTCTTCTGTGTGTGTGTTCTTTTTAGTAAGTTTATTGCCGTGCTGGTGCAGCTATGAAAACTGTCTGGAAAGCTTTGAATGGTTTATTGCTTATGGTAAAATTTGCCTGATTTCTTACAGGCAGTGTTTGGAACTTTTTATTATATAGTTGTTTACATACTTATAAGTCTATCATTTAAAGACATGTACTGAAACAAATGTTGTATTTGTTTCGTAAGCATCTTCCTGTAATCTATTATAAAGTTGAAATTAAATATAGAGAATGTTTTAACAGTTTTTTAACTCAAAATTTGTCAATCATTTTTAATAGTTCTTTTTTTATAAAAGGAAAAAGGAATTTCAGGACAGGCAGTAGCTTCTTTTAAAATTTATTCACAAAGAACGATTAACTGCACAGTTGCTGTTCGCTGCCTGTTCTAAAACAATAGTCTTTTTATTGAAACACAAATAAACTTTTCTGTAATATTTTATGGAATATAAAGAGACTTTAATTGTTTGACTTGTTTAACTTGGCACTGTTAGTTTTTATTAATAAAACGCGCATGAGCATTTTAAACAAGCTCTGTGTTTTTCTAATTCAGGATTACTGTCTAGAACTTATTTTATCCTGTTAGTCTTGCTTTTCGCTGGAGTGAGAAGAGGTAGCCAGGCTCAGGAGTGAGGGGCCGGGACCCCACCACGGTCCTCTCAGCTTGTCTTGCAGCTTCCTGAGGGATGGCAGGGGCCCAAGAAGGATGTCACAGTGGCACAGACCAAAGCAACACCTCCTCTCCTGTGGCCAGTGATGGGGAGAGAGTTTCTTTCATGCCTTTCTCCTGAATCTTCAAAGTTTTTGAAGATTTTATGGGTTTGACTTTCAGAAAAAGTCAAACCCATAAAGTCTTACCCTCTTTCGTAAGGTAAGAAAGGAGATCTGACCTCCAACGTTATGTTATCATGACATATCTGAGGTGACCTGACCTCTGACCTATGACACGAGATTGCTGAAGTGGCTCAAAAAGTGTTTACTGATCGGCCCAAGCCGGTTTTGCTCAGTGGTTAGAGCATTGGCCGCAGATGGAAGGGTCCTGGGTTCGAATACGGCGAAGGGCACATGCCTCAGTTGCAGGTTCAATCCTCAGCCCCAGCCAGTGTCTTGCAGGAGGCAACCAATTGATGTGTCTCCCTCACATCGATGATTCTCTCTCTCTCTCTTTCTCTCTCTCTCTCCCCCTTCCACTCTCTCTAGAAAAATCAGTGGAAAAAAATATCCTCAGGTGAGGATTAAAAAAAGGTTTTTACTGATCATATCAGCGGTGAAGGACACTGACCATTGTCTTATGTGGTAGAGCTGTCCAGCAACTAATGAGTCAGTGGCCTTACAGAATACTGAAAGGGTTTTGATTCTCTCCTCAAACACTGTTTATAACTGGGTTTCATGCTGACAGATTCTCCTGTTCAGGAGCTGTGTGCAGCTGTCTGTGTCACTCTGTTGGTGGCAACCGGCGACGCTGCGCTTGGTACTCTTGTGGGAAGAGGGCACCAGGCCTCAAGCTATGGTTTGGGCGCAAGTGGGCGACACGGTGAGAGCAGGTTTATTCACACAGAATGTTCTCATTTCAGTTTTTTCAAAAGGCCTAGAGTTGCAGACTCACGAGTTCCTGGCTGTTGGAGGAGGGTCTTGTGCTTGGTGAAAGGAAGGTTAATTACTGTTTGTTATGACCTCTAGCTCATAGGTTCTCTCACATTGGTGACACCCTTGCGTTTTACTTATGTCCTGGAACTGCTTTCAGGTGACAGTCTCTCTCCAACATTGTTTTGTAATTTCCCTGACTTGCAATGGAAACTTTAAAAAGCAGATTTTTAAAGAAAGAGGTGTTTGATTTTTTGTTGTTGATTTTTTCCCCCCTTATCAGGAAAGACATGGCTGTTTTATGTAGAGTAAGAGTGACTTTACTTATTTTTACAATTTAGGAACTACATTCTTTAAAGCAAGCATCAAGGATGTACATTTTCGTAAGTCATATTTTATATCAGTTCATTGATAGTTTTTATATTACTATGGGTGGTAGTTCATTGATATATAGAAAAAATAAGTTATAGTAAGAAAAGTGATGTCTATACAGAAAGATGAATCATTTAGGGTCTTGTTAGTTGGATAGCTTCTGTCTTAGGGTTACCATGTTAACCCAACATTTTTATCATAGCTATAAACTCTATCTAAAAAATAATAAAGACTTAATAAGAAATAGTTGATTATAAAGCCAAGTGCGTGACGCACAGGTGCCTGTCTGGAGTTACTGAGCAGACTTAGAGTTTGCGTTTTGGAACATTTGAAAGCTGGCTTGGTGCAGAGCCAGCGGGCAGCTCCTTTGGAGGATGGAGGTCTGCGAGTTACCATGAAGGGTAAGGCCAGCCTCCTTGGTCCATTACTTCTGAATTTTAAGCTTGAATTCCACTTTCCCTTCAAAGGGGTCATGGGGATTGTCATAGGTCACATGTTCTGCCAGGATCTTGCACACGATGACAACTTCTGTGTTCCTGGGGACGTTGAGAAGCTTCACGGCCACTAAAGGGTTGCTGTAGTGGGGCTGAGGCAGAATTGTGGAAAGAGGAGATAGTCAGAAACCTGGTGCTGAGTGTCGATACTTAGGTGGTACAAAGAGGTGATTCTTACATGCTCTCTGAGTTAGACCTGCAGTGATCTGTCTAACCTGGAATTCACCAGGGTAAATGTCTACCCACTTAGAAATGAGAATTGGTCTGGGAGGGACAGATAATACCAATGACAAACTCAACTTCAAATTATATTAGATGGAAGTTAATATAAAAATAAAACAAGCAAGATATTTAGAAGAAATGCTTTAAAATCAGTACACAGTTGTCTAAAAGGATTTGGGAGGCTGTCAAAAACGAAAACATTTAGATTTAGTATTTGTATTTTGCGTGAGACAATGTGCCTGCAGGTAGTTAGGAGAACGTGAGTTTGGGAAACAGCCAGAACAGAAAATGCCTTGTTTCATTTTTATAGGTAAAATATTTATGGCTTTCCCTTTGCTAATCATTGCTAAATTTGGGATGATCCAGTAGCTGTTGTCAGGTGAAAAGTGACACACCTACCTGCGCTTTCTTCCCATAGTAAGGGAAGTAGTGTAGACTGAAGGTGCCGTTGGGCGGGTAGTACTCCACCTGCAGGGGCTGGACGTCCTTTTGGTGCTGGTCCTGGGGGAGGAGAGGCCACTGCTTGAGTAAGGCAAGATCTGGGTGCGTGGGTGCATGTGTGTGTATCTCAGTGTCTCTCAATGCCTGTCTATGTGTGCATGCATGTGCCATGTTTGTGCATCTCTGTCCATGCACACATGTACATGCATGTATTTCTGCATGTCTCCACATCCGTGTGGCATGCATATTGTGTGGGTATGCATGTGTGCACTGTGTAGGTGACTGCATAAATACTTTATTGTGTAATTAACATAAACTAGATCTAATCTTTATAATCAGTATGGGGCTTCTATTGGGGGTGTAATTTGTTACTTGCAAAACCCCTGGTGACTTATCAAACTTGTATTTGTACCATTTTAAGTCCTTATAGGATAACACAGAGCCCAGAATGCATAGAGCCCAGAATGCTTGCTTATCTACATGGGATGAAAGCTGATGAGGCTGTACGGGCTGTTTGGAGTGGCTTTCTGGGATCAGCATCTGCTTTCAGAGTCAACAACTTGCCTGATGGATAGCTGGAGCCTCTCGGAGAACAGATTAAGGCTACTGTGGTGTCTGTTAAAATCTCAAGTCAGCCTGCACAGGTGTGGTTGAAATAACTAAAAAAGGAAAAACAAAACAGGACGACCCCATGCCCCATGGAGAGATCACAGGCTTTGAGGGGTGGGGTGTTTCTGTGGAATACCCAAGTGGGGTGCCCACTGCTGGGAACAGGGAACCTTTGGTTGAAGGCACCGTGGTGAAAACAAGCTTTGGAAACTATTCAGTGAAGATAAATTTAGTTTTTTTCATGTTGTACTTAAAAATGAGTTTTGAGAGCCCGGCCGGGCGTGGCTTAGAGGTTGAGCGTCGACCTAGGATCCAGGCAATCGGCAATCGGGGCTCGATTCCCGGTCAGGGCACATGCCCGGGTTGCCGGCCCGATCCCCAGTCGGGGGCGTGCAGGAGGCGGCTGATCAATGACTCTCTCATTATTGATGTTTCTATCTCTCCCTCTCCCTTCCTCTCTCTAAAATCAATAAAGATGTATTTAAAAAAAAAAAAAAAGTTTTAAGAGAAGCTGGAATAAACTAATGCCAACCCTTAGCAGCCCATAGACATACACCATTAAACAACTCTAGCTGTTGGTAGTCCGGCACGTTCTTCTAAATAAGCAGATAAAAAGAACAAACAGCAGTAGAAGTGTCTTAGTTTCTTCAGTTTGCCACCAGACATCTTGCAGGGTATCAGTAATACACTGTCCCAGATGCTTTTTGAAGCAAAACAGTAACAAGTTTTTCTCTTACTAGGTTTTTATCCCCCATAATAAACTATTTTAAGCGATGATTTATGTGATCTGTGTATCCAGTTTATTAGGCTGACAGTTGAGCTGGTCATAGGGAAAACCAGTTAAGTTATTCCCAGAGGTTTTGTAGCAATAACAAGATTGCCGTGGATGGTCACACTCACCAGGAAGGCGCAGTCCACCCTGGGCGCTGTTTTGTTGCTGGGGAGAAACCTGACGATCTGGAAGGGAAAGGTGTCCATGTGGCCTCTCATGCTCGTGTGAGCACAGAGGGACCTGCCTGAGCTGGGTTTCCACAGGCCAGTGAGAAGGGTCTGGGGTGCTGGGTGATTCCTGTTCTAATAATCCCTGGGGGGTATTACCAACTCCTTCAAAGCCAGAAGCCCTTCCCCAGGGCTGTAGTCTTGGCCACAGGCAGGTGGCAGATCTGGACAGGAGGTTCTGAGCTATGGCTGCCACTTCCAGGCCCTCCACGCTGCACTGAATTAGGGCACAGCGTCTGCTGGCTGTGTGGCAGCTCCCCATGCAGACTTCAGCCCACCTGTGCTTCTCCTAGTCCATGCCTTTCTCAGCCTCCTAAAGTCCTGGCCCTTGTGTGTGCCCACTTGTGCCCAGAGCCTGATAGAACACCTGCTTCCCCCTCCCACACCTGCCCCGATGTGCACAGCTCTCCTGTGCTGCATGGGTGTGAGCTGCTATCACACCTGCCAAGCAGCTCTGTCGAGACCCAGCTGGGACCTGGGGCACGTGCACAGTGTACAAATGGTTGGCTTCCTCTAGGCCTCCTAGGAAGGAAAATAAATAGTGCCCATGCAGATGCTCGCAGACCGCACCTGCTGTCCGTCATGGAATTGTGTTTCCTCACTCCCCTACCCCGCCAGATCCCAACCCTCCTCAGGTCTCTGCACACCCCCGGCCTAGATGGACCGAGCCCTCCTGTGTTCGCTGCATTGGCTCTGTACCCATGCTCTGCCTCCCTTAGTGCCTTGCCCTGGGCCCGTCAGTGGATCCCTGGCCCAGGTTGGAAACCTCTGCTCTGAATGGTTCCCAGGTATCCTCCCAGCGCCTGTACACGACCTGGCTACTTTCTGGGTATTGTGCACATGTGGCTACCCCAGCCACCCTGAACAGCCCAGTGCTCTGCTGCTCAGTGTCCAGAAACCACAGAGCGTCTAGTAGATGCTGTGTTTGAATGGGTGGCTTTCATTTGTATTTGAGAGAAGTAATCAGCTTATGAGTTAACGCAATGGGCTCGTGTTTAGTGAAGGTGCAGAGCAGGGAAGGGGCAGCCAGGGCAAATCCAACCTGCCACCTCTGGAACCCTGGGCAGGAGGGTGCGTGTGGTCATGGGAGGGCTAAACACCCTGACCCTCCACCCCACAGCAATCTCCAAAGGAGCCTCATAGTGGACCTCTGACCTCCAACCCTTTTATACTCACCCTGTTCATCTTAATAATGAAACACGGCTTTCCTTCCTTAAAGCCAAAGTTGGGATCCACCAGGCCTGAGCAGTTTTGCAGCATGTCGGTTGTGAACTTGCAGGAGAACTTGGTGTGGTTAGGGGCCCTGAAGCTTTCCTGGATGAACACCTTCTCAGAGGTGCAGTTTATGTTGTCCTCCTGGGCCACTGGCGAGTAGCCTGCCGGCACAAACACACCTAAGGGCCCCTTCCTCCAGCTGCAGCCACCCCAGGGCTGTTAGAGGGTGGCGAAGCCCAGGCCCTACAGTGAAGTTTTCTTAGAAAAGGAAAAATAAAGGCTGTGGAAGCATTTTAAACCTTACCTGCCAGGAATTCGTGGAGGGTGTGCACTAGGTCCGTCCAGGTCCTGTTATCAGAGACATTGTAGGAAATGTCCAGGCCTTTCTCCCCGTAGACATCTGGCCTCAAGGTCACCCCTGGAAAGAGAGTGTAACACTTACTAGTTTCCCCACATGTTCATCACATCTAAGCTGTTTGCTATGGAGTTGGTGAGTTGCATGCAGAGCTACCCCGGGCTGGTGGAGGCTGAGTGTGGGATGCAGCTGGACCAACTGGGCCCAGGTCTTCAAGGGCTGCCGGGTGAAGAAGCTGCCACCGAGGCAGCCACACTTGTTGCAGGTGACAACTCATCTAAGGTCAGCTGGGTTTCTAAGTGAAGTTGTATTTGAAAGCATATTTGAAAACTCCTCACTGGTTTTGAAGTTAAGTACAAATGCACTCTAACAACATATTAATTGTAAAAGGAGAAAGCAAAAAACAAAATTGTACAAGTGTAGGAAGTTGAGGTGACAGCCCTGTTTTCAGGATCTCAAGTCTAGCGTGCATCCTTAGGAAACTTTCCTGTTTCTGTGCATACAAAGATACCATGTGTTTCTTCACATAAATGGGAGCATGCTTTCCATATTCCACTTTCCTCTTTTCTTTTTGTGACACCAATTGCAATCATCTTTCCCTGGCATTTCATATCAACTCCCCTCTTTCTTTCCACGAATACCACATCGTGTTTCATTGTGTGAATGTTCTTTGACTTATTTAGCCAGTTCCCTGATTGACGCAGGTGACTTTTTAAATAAGTAAGCTAGGAGTTTTGTTGTTTTATGAATGTTGTGAAAGTAACAGGTGTACATGGTTTAAAATAAAAACCTTCAGAAAGATCTAAAAGAAAAGCTCTCCACTCTCCTCTCTCAGCTATTTACTCTGAGTGTGTCCTCAGGTTCTCACATAACTTGTTCACCAGCTTCAGATGGCAGCTGTCGCCTGTTCCCTGCCTCCTCCCCGCGATCAAGAGAACACTCCTCGCCTGCCTTCCATCCTCAGGGTTTTGGGCGAATTATGTTATAGCTATGTTCTCAAGTTTGTAATATATTACATTCTGTTTTGAAATTATAGTGAAATCCTCCATGTTTTATCTGTTGGTTGATTCTAAAAATTGACACCCGATAAAGCACTTTGATGTTATTACTTATGGATCCCAGCAGAATGGCTGGACATGCTAAGCTCACCCGCTGGAGAACATCTGAGGCAGCTTCTCTTAAAAACTTCTGGCTCAGCTGGGCGTGGCTCAGCAGTTGAGCATCGACCTATGATCCAGGAGATCGAGATTTGATTCCCGGTCAGGGCACATGCCTGGGTTGTGGGCTCTATCCCCAGTGGGGGGCATGCAGGAGGCAGCCAATCAATGACTCTCATCATTGATGTTTCTCTCTCTCTCCCTCCCTCTCTCTGAAATCAATAAAGATATATTTTAAAAAAACCAACTTCTGAATTTTCTTTTCCTATGTGCTGCTGTTGGATGTTTCTGGGCCTTTATCTTAAGGATGTGTGGGTGGTAAGCATTCTGAGTAACTGCTGGAAATACCCCTTCATGTCTTTCTTCCTTTCTTCTCCCTCCCTCCTTTCCTTTATGTTTTTCTCTCTTTTTTTTTTTTTGTAGTCACCTTTGTTTAATGGGCTGGGTGTGGAAGGCTTGGCTCAAATCACCTTCGCCAGGACTGTGGAGGTGACACCTCCCTGTCTCAGACCCTAGAGTCCTCACGAATGACTCGTTTGGTGCCGAGAGGAGAGGAGAGGCGGGGCTCAGCCCACGTCCCGGCCGCCTGCATCCCACAGGCTGGCAGACTGCACGGGAGAAGGCTCTGCTCGGAATGGAATTTGCTGCTGTGGAAGCAAGGCCTCAGTACTGACGGGCACAGTGGAAAACCAAAGCTCCTTCCCTCCCCCAAACCCTTCCCTCCCCATCACGCTAGGAGCGGTTTCTTATATATCTTCCCAGAAATGTCTTCTGTGTGTATATTTGCATACAAAGCAGGTGATAGACTCTTATCACAAAAACCTCTGTTTTAATCATTACAGCTAAAGCCAAAGTCAGACTTTATAATCTGGGGTCACCTTCCCCATCGAAAGAAGCCAGGGTGCTGTCCTCAAAAAGAAGCCCAGGTGTAGCCCTCAAAGCCCTGTGGCCACTGGGGGGAGGAACAGAGAGGGCCCTCTAGGCCTGCTGGGTGCCCCTTGGGGCTTCATTCCTGGAGGGTTTATGCTCTGACAGCACCTCCAGGACTGAGTATCGCCTGACCTGCTTGGCGTCCTGGTGCCCAGGCTTTAGTGTCACCCCCGTTACCTGGTGACTTTAGCTGGTCTTGGTAGTCAGGCGTGTATGGGTCAAGCGTACACATCAGCGAGTAGATGCACAGGGCGAAGAGTCCGGTCATCACCACGTAGAAGGCCACATAGTAGAGGCTGATCCACACTACAGGGAGAGGCCCATCAGACGAGCTGACACACTTCTTCATCGCGGTCGGGCCCACACGTAGAACCCACCACTTCAACCATCTTAAAGTGAAAAACTCAGTGGCGTTTAGTACATTCTCACACAACGTGCAATCAGCACCTCTAGTTCCAGAACATTCTCATCACTCCAAAGAAACCCCATGCCCCTTGACTTCAAAGACTTTTTACAAATTGTAAAGTTCAGGAACATAGCTGTAAACTGCTATTCTCAAGTCTAAGCCTGAAACTTTGGGGCCAATCCTCTGATGTTCCTGCCATGTGGGTGCCCGGTGCCAGGGAGAATTAGAACTGAAATGGGCCTTTGGGGTCACCTGGTGAGGGAGGTAAGGCCTGGCTGGAAGTCTGGGCAAGGCCTGGGTCCCGGGAGCCTGGACCACCCGTCCCCAAGCTGCTGTTGGGTGGTCCTCTGCCTCCCTTCTCAGAGCTGTTCCTCCTTTCCCTTCCTTGCGGGGCACATACCCCACCGGGACAGGGTCCGGCCCAACATCTGCCCCGTGTCTGGGTTCCAGCAGTAGCGCTGGAATTCCTCCATCCGCTGGCTGCATGACTTTTTCTCCTGCAATGCTGCCATCGTCCCTGCTTCTGGAGGTCTTCCTCCTGCAGACTGAGAGCAGACTGCAGACTGAGAGCAGAAAGTCCTCCTCTGGGTTTTATAGTCTCCTTCAGAGGTCAACAGCACCGTGGCGCGGGTTCCAGGGAAAGCACCGCAGCCGTGTTATCAGACCTCGGCTGTCCAAACACCAGTGACCAGCTCCCTGGGCTCTGCAGGTTCTCCTGCTATCAGGTGCCCTCCACCTCTCCCCTGGGCAAATCGGGGCGGTCACCTCTTTTTACCTTCCCTCCTCTGGGATGCCCTTGGCCCGTAACTTTGTTATGATAATGACTAAGGGGAAATACTTTCTTGGGTGAACAGCCACTTGTTCAGCTCTGCCCCATTCTCTTGCTTCCTCCAGGAAAGATGTAAGATCAGAACAAGCACTGGCCTGGACCCGATGCTTGCTGGCTGCTCAGACACTGCCTGGTCTGAGATGATGGGCAGGGGGTGGCCAATGTCATGATATTGCAATTGCTGGGGCTTTACGAGTGGCTCCAGGCGCTGACATTGTGGAAACAGGGCCAGAGTGTGAAAGGGGCTGGGAGTTCTGTTCCAGAGGAGAGGGTTTGGAGGGTTCCCAGGTCCCTTTAGGCCTTTTTTTGTGTTTATGGGAGAACTCACAGCCATACCGTCTAGAGGTATTTTCAAAATTGAATGCACACCACACCCCAGGCATCTAGTTGGAATGCAGATTCTGACCTAATAGGGACCCAATGGGCCCGGGAGTTCCCGGTGGAGTTCCTGGTGATTGTGGCTGCAGGACCACAGCAATGCCCAGGCAGAGGATGCTTGGCCTGGTGGCACATTGGAGTCACCCGAAGCACCTTGAAAACTCCTAACGCTTGTCTCACCTCCACATTTCTGAGTGTGCCAAGTGGCCAGGTGACCTGAACTCCCAGAGAGCTTCAAGTTCCCCCCTCACCCAGATTAATCTTGATGTGTGACCAGAACCACTAGCTCAGAGACTCTGGTGGTTAGAGACATAGCTGGGGACATGCCATCTGCTCACTGGGGCGTCATCTCTGCAGTTAGGTTGAAAGGGCAAATATGTGTCACAGAGGCCTTTCTACAAATATTTCCATCAAAACCCAATTAAAATAATGTGTATTATATACAAAAATCTGACATTTCATTCACTGTCATATATAGGTTTTCCCTCTAAGGGACCCATGTAGCCAAATGAAGAGGTTTCTTTCAGAAGAATAATGAAAACTCTCTGGCCATTATTCTGCATGTTTTCTTTACGATGATTTAGGGTTGATCAGCAGAATGAGCACCCTAAAATTCAAAAGGAATTGTACTATTTTAGCTAGGACTAATTTTTTTTTAAAAATTATGTTTTTATTGATTTTAGAGAGAAGAAGGGAGAGAGTGAGCGAGCAAGAGAAACATCAATGATGAGAGTCATTGATCAGCTGCCTCCTGCACGCCCCCTACTGGGGATCGAGCCCGAAACCCACACATGTGCCCTGACAGGGAATTGAACCGTGATCTCCTGGTTCCTGGGTCAATGCTCAACCACTGAGCCAAGCCAGCCGAGTGGATTTCTAATTTTTTAATGGATCAATCGTATACATTTTCCTTAACACTGTTCCCATTCACAACTTTGGAACTTTAAGGCAATAGAAACACAGAGTGTGGTGTTAGGTTGCAGTCTAATTGTTCACACCCGTGGGTCTGGGACCCTGAGTGCAGAGGCCTTAAAATAAGTACAGCAACTGTTGACCACAGAATAAATGCTGCTCTTGTCTGTGAAGTATAGAGATGAGTGTAGAAATGCTCATTTTGTAATGAGAAAAATATGAAGTCTTTAGACTAAATCTTCCCCATTTAGTCTCTGAATTCTCCAAAGCATGAAAGCATGTGTTGAAGTGCACACACATTATCAAAATGACCTTTCCTGTACATGTGCCTGTAGGGAAGGAGAGGCAGGCAGAGGGACACTGGTAGAGGGCAGCTTCCCCCTGGCATTCTCTGAAAATGTAGGACAGATGCCCCATAAAGAGCGGGCTCCAGACAAAGTGGGGAGCATACCCCAGACTCCCAAGTGGGAAGCCTAGACTTCTACATTCACCTGGCAGGAATGAGGTGGAGCCCAACGCCTTCTGCTGGAGTGGAGTCAGAAACAGCCAGCTAAAACTGAAGGGGTAAATAATAGGAAAATGTTACATTTCAATTGATAATCACTCATCCTACCAAGACCAGGAGGATTTCAAAATGAATTAAAACAAGAAAATCAATGAATGCCAACATCAAAGACACAGAAATGTTGGAATTACCTGACAGAGATCTTAAAGCAGGCATGATAAAATTGCTTCAGTGAGCAATTATGAACATGCTTGACACAAATGAAAAAGTAGAAAGCCTCCTCAAAGAAAAGAAAGTTTAAGGAAAGAAATAAAAGATACAAAGGAGAACCAAATGAAAATTTTAGATTAAAAAATACAATAACCAAAATAAAAAGCTCAGAGAATGGATTCAATAGCAGAAGGGAGGGGGCAGAGGAAAAAACAAAAACAAAACCAAAAACAATAGAAACATGGAAGAAAAACACAATAGAAAGGACATAATCTGAACAATAGAGAGAAAGTAAACTTGGAAAAAAATGCACAGAGCCTCAGGGATCTGGGGGACTGTAATAAAAATCTAACGGCTGTGTCATCGGAGTCCTGGAAGGAGAGAAGTAAGAGGGCAAGGTTGAAAACTACTCAAAGAAATAATAATGATTGAAAACTCCCCAAACTTCACAAAAGACATAAACTTATAGATTCAAGAAGCTGAGTGAACCCCAAACAGTTTAACCATGCCCTCCAAGTCTATACCAAGATGCATCATAATTAAACTTATCAAAATTAAAGACATACACACACAACACCTAGAAAGCAGCCAGACAAAAACCATCTGAATGACAGCTGATTCCTCATCAGAAACCAGAGGCCAGAGGGAAGTTGTACAATATTTTTTAAGTGCAGAAAGAAAAGTACTGTCAACCTAGAATCCCAAATCTAGCAAAAATATCCTTCAGGAATGAAGGGGGAATCAAGTTATTCTCAAATAAAGAAAAAAGGAAGATACTTTTTCACCGGCAGACTTATCCTAAAAGGATGACTTGAAGGGAGCTCTTAAAACAGAAAGACAAGGTTAAAAGGAAAGACTATTGGAGCATCAGGAAGGAAGAAGTAACAGTGAGCAAAATGTGAGTAAGCACTAAATAGGCTTCCTTTCCTTCTTGTTTTCCCAATTATGTCTGATGGTTGAAGCAAAAATTATAACATTGCCTAATATTATTCTAAATGTATGTAGATGAAACAATTAAGACAATTATAAATAGCCCGGCCTGGCGTGGCTCAGTGGTTGAGCGTCGACCTAGGATCTAGGTGATCGGGGTTCGATTCCCAGTCAGGGCACATGCCCAGGTTGCGGGCTTGATCCCCAGTCGGGGGCGTGCAAAAGGCAGCCAATTAGTGACTCTCTCATCATTGATGTTTCTATCTCTCTCTCTCCCTCTCCTTTCCTCTCTCTGAAATCAGTAAAGATATATTTAAAAAAAAAGACAATTATAAACAGAGGATAAAAGGTGAGTTTTATACTTCACTCAGACTGATAAAATGACAATAAATCGTGAACAGTTATGTATGTATAATGCAATGCCTGTGGCAACCAATAAAAACTATATAAAGAGATATATTAAAAATACTACAGATAAATTAAAATAGAATTCCAAACAATGTTTAAGTAACCTGAAAAAGAGGGAAAAGAAAACAAATGAAAAACAGAAAGACAGAAAGATACAGGAAAAAAAACAAACAGAAAAATGGCAGAGTTGAGCCCTAACATAGCAATAATTACATTAAATGTACATGGTCTAAGAACACCAATGAAAAGACAGCAGATTAAAAAATGACTCAACTATATGCTATCTACAACAAACTCACCTCAAATACAATGATATAGGCAGGCTGAATGGGAAAAAATGGAAAAAGATACATAATTCAAATATTAATCATATAAAGTAAGAGTGGCTATATTAATATCATATAATAGAGACTTCAGAGCAGAGAAAATTTCTAGAGACAGACATTGTATGGTAATAAATGGCTGATCCACCAAAAAGATATAGCAATCCTAAATGTATATGTACCAAGCAAGAGAACTGAAAAATATGTAAAGCAAACTGATAGAACTAAAAGGAGAAATAAACAAATCCACAGTTTTAGTTAGAGACTTCAACATTCCTCTCTCAACGACTGATAGAACAACTAAATAGAAAAACCAGCATGGATATAGAAGAACTTAAGAACATCACCAACCACCAGAATGCCATTGACATTGGTAGAATAATCCACCCACCCACGGCAGAATACACTTTCTTTTTAAGTGTTCATGGAACATTTATCAAGATAGATCACATCTTGGGCCATAAAACAAAGCTCAACAAATTTGAAAAAAAAGGAAATAATACAAAATGTGTTCTACAACCTCAGTGGAATCAAACTAGAAACAATAACAGAAAGGTAACAGAAAACGCCCCCAAACATGTGAAAACTAAACAATACACTTCTAAATAATGTATGAGTCAAAAAGGAAGTCTCAGGGAAATTAAAAAAATACACAGAACTGAATGAATGTTAACGCAGTGGTCACAGGAACATTTATAGCAGTAAATTAATATATTAGAAAAGAAGAAAAGTCTCAAATCAATTATCTAAGTTTTCACTTCGAAAACCTAGAAAAAGAAGAAGGGGGAGAAAGCAAACAGGAGGAAGAAATAAAAGATAAGAGCAGAAACCAATGAAATTAAAAACAAAAGAGAAAATCAGTAAAACAACAAAGAACTGGATCTTTGAAAAGACCAATAAAATTGACAAACCTATTGCAAGAGAGAAGACAAATAGCCAATATCAGAAATGAAACGAGATACCACTACACATCTATCAAAACAGCTAAATAAAAAAATAGTGAGAACATAAAATGCTTGGGAGTATGCTGAGGAGCTGGATCCCTCATATGTTGTTGGTAGGAATGTAAAGTGGTACAGCCATTCTGGAAAAATGGTTTGCCAGTTTCTTAAAATACCAAACATGCAGTTAGTTACCATACAACTCAGCTATTACACTCTTCTGACTAGGGCATTCTTTGTTTCTGGAACTCTTCATTTCCTTTCCTCTTTAAACTATAACCACCTGCTACTCACTGCCTTGACATTCTTTCCCAAACATTTGCTGAGCACTTACTGTGTAATAAAATAGACAGACAAGGCTGTGATGTCATGAAGCTGACATTTCTGTTGGTCCTGGTCTCCCTAGGTATACCCCAGATGTGTCCCAGGTGTGCCCCAGGTATATCCCAGGTGTGCCGCAGGTGAATCCCAGGTGTGTCCTAGGTATTTCTCAGGTGTGTCCCGGTGTGCCCCAGATGCGTCCCTGGCCCCTCCATTCTCCTCTCACTCCTGCGTGGAGCCTCAGCACTGGGTGTAACTTCGGGGGTGTCTCCTATTTCCCTGTCCTAATCTCACCTGAATGCTTTGCTTGTTACTTTGGCTTTGCAGGCAAACCCCAGGTGAGGGGAAGGAACTGATGCGGAGCTGACTTCTCAGCAAGTGCCGAGGTTACTTTTGGTCCTCAGAGCCAGCAGCATGATACAGGAGCACAGCTGCTCTCAGGTCAGGACAAGTGTCAGCCCCCACATACTGATTGTTCACTGGTGGACACCCTAAGAAGCAGTTCACTGCGTTCCCCCACTCTCTAAATTCCTATTACAGCAGGTTCTCTTCTCACTTGCTAATTTTCTTTACGATAAAAATAAAATATAGTGGGGAAAGAAACCAGGCATCCTTATAAATTAACATTTCTCCGGCCTCCTCTTCAGTTCGGCCTCCAGTCCCTTCAAGGAAACAAATGGGCACTCTGCCCGGCTGCTGAGGCCAGAGGGCTCGACAGGGCAGCTTAGAAAGACTGAATCTCTGGGGCTTCGGGGAGATGCTCCCAGGGAGTCCTGGAGTTTGTCAAGACAAAGCTGGTTTCTGAGGAAGGAGCCCTGCAGGCCCCCTCTAATCTTTCTGGGAGCTGCTTAGGGGATTGTCTTTTTCTGGCACCTGCTGGCTGCCCCGCCCCAAGTGCATCCTGCATAACCCCAGGCTGGGATTTAGCCTGAGCTGTGTCAGCTGGGCTCCCGGGGGGAGCTCCTGGTGTGGCCCCCCAGTCATCCTTTTACCTTTCCGGACACCTCCTGTCCCTGGAGCTGGGACCAGGCACAGGCCAAGGGCAGCGAGTGAGGCCTGCTCTGGACATTGGCGCCGAGGGCTAGCTCATGGCTCCTGGTGCCTGAGTGGTGGGAGGCGGGCGCCGGGATGGATTTCGGGTCCTTGGAGACTGTGGTGGCCAACTCTGCCTTCATCGCTGCCCGGGGCAGCTTCGATGGGAGCAGTGCCCCATCCTCCCGGGACAAGAAGTACCGGGCCAAGCTCAGGCTGCCCCCACTCTCCAAGTGCGAGGCCCTCCGGGACAGCCTGGACCTGGAGTTCCAGAATGTGTGCTCCGAGCAGCCCATTGGCAAGCGGCTTTTCCAGCAGTTCTTGAAGGCCAGCAAGAGTCACGTGCCGGCCCTGGAGCTCTGGAAGGACATTGAGGATTACGACACGACCGATGATGACCTGAGGCCGCAGAAGGCCCAGGCCATCCTGGTTGAGTACCTGGATCCCCAGGCCAAGCTCTTCTGCAGCTTCCTGGACGAAGGGACAGTGGTGAAGGTCCAGGAGGGGTCCGTGGAGAGCAGGGAAGGACTCTTCCAGCCCCTCCTGCTGGCCACCCTGGCCCACCTGAGCCAGGCCCCGTTCCAAGAGTACCTGGGAAGCCTGTACTTCCAGAGGTTCCTGCAGTGGAAGTGGCTGGAGGCCCAGCCCACAGGCGAGGACTGGTTCCTGGACTTCAGGGTGCTGGGGAAAGGTGGCTTTGGGGAGGTGTCCGCCTGCCAGATGAAGGCGACTGGCAAGATGTACGCGTGTAAAAAGCTGAACAAGAAGAGGCTGAAGAAAAGGAAGGGGTACCAGGTGGGCAGCACAGCTGTGCACAGTGGAGGGCTCGCTCTTAGATCCAGCAGATGGGCGGGTGGGTCAGTGGCCAGGAGGGCCCTCAGGTGCTCTGTGCCGCTCCTCGCAGCTCCCCTCGGAGGGCTGGTTGGCTCACGTTCCCGTTTGGACACCAAGACCCTTCCATTGTGCAGCTGTTGGCTGGTTTCTAGTCCATCTGAGTCTCCTTGACTTGAGCCAGCCCCATCTGTGCCCGGCAGTTGTGGGCCTGGCCTGGAGCGGGGTGACAAAAGGAGGCAGTGTGTGGCTTCTGGGGCCCCCCCCGGCCTGTGGCTCAGTTTGTCCAGCAGCTATTAACTACCAGCCTCACGCTCTGCACACAAACAGGTCTGCTGATGTCCCTCCTCGTAAAGCGGCCTTTGCATCTGCTGGTGTGGGTGATGCGCCACATCCTGTCATCCTCGGTTTCCCACCAGCAGCGCAAAACACAGCAGTGCTGGGGAGGCTGTCGAGGGATTGTTCTCCGAGTCTCCACTCTGACTTTCTGGAACCTCCCCAAGCCTTGGCTTTGCCGTGATGGAGAATGCACAGGGTATCTAGCCACGGCTGGTGCCAGTCTTTTATGGGAGGCCGAGCCTGTCTGTGATGCCGGGTGCAGGCTGCTCCCCGAGTACAGCCGCTTTCCGGGGACAGGGAGTGAGGCAGGCACAGGCAGGTCGCTCCGAGTGGGGTCCGCTCTCTTTAACTGGAGCCAGGCCCCGTCTAGGCAGGATCAGCGAAAGCTGCTTAGTGTCCTAGGAACTCATCTCTCAGCTGCACATTCTGTCTCGTGTGGTTCTTTGTCCCTTTTCCGCTGCACAGTGCAGATTGTGTAGGGGGCAAACACAGGTTTTGGGATAAATAGCAGCCACCACGGAGCACCCCTCCTGGGGTTGCTGGCTGGTGCTCTCCCTGTGGGACTTTGGGGAAAGGCATCATCCTTCCCTCTTGCTGTCTGTCAGTAATTTTTTAAAAAAAAAATATCTTTACTGATTTCAGAGAGAGGAAAGGAGAGGGAGAGAGAGAGATAGAAACATCAATGATGAGAGTCATTGATTAGCTGTCTCCTGTATGCCCCTTACTGGGGATGAGCCCTCAGGCATGTGCCCTGACAGGGAATCGAACCCCAATCTCCTGGATCCTAGGCGGACGCTCAACCGCTGAGCCACCCCCAGCCGGGCTGCTAATAATTTTAATCCAACAATTAGAGTACTGCAGTCTCTTATCTCCTTAGTTCAGGACCCTCCTTGAACTTAATACAAAGTAAAATCAACCCCAAATCTTCTAATGCAGTGCGGATAGAAAGAGGCCTCTTCCAACATCATGAATTCCTCCTTCAGAAAGGAATTCTGCTTTTTTTTTTTTAATCCAAACACAACTTTAAAAAACATGTTTAGTGGATATCATGCAGTTTTAAAATAAAGATAGAAAATGAACAGAGGTACAGAGTGGCTTGGGACCTCTGCTGTCTGCTGTCCAGAGGTGTGGCCAGGAGAAAAGGGGCTGAGATTTTGGGCAGGATGATTGGTGAGATGTAAGAAAGGAGGGGAGGGAAAGTCAGCACTGAACAGGCAACTGGGCCAGGCTGGAACCCTCGCCTGACACTTTTAAGAAGGTTTGGCTGGAGTCTGACTTGCTGGAGGCTCCAGCAAGCCTGAAGTCCTCTGTGCATGACTAATTTGCATGTCCGATTTTAAGTTATTTGCAATTGCTTTGTGCAAACCACTTTTAAAATGTATTTGAAACTCATTTTCTATTTTATTGGAATTCTTTCTGGTTTGCGGAACTTGTTTTTTTCTGGCAACGTCGCTTCCCTGCCTAAACCTGGGTACTTTTCTACATCTTGCTTTTCAGGGCGCTATGGTAGAGAAGAAGATTCTAGCGAAGGTACACAGCAGGTTTATTGTCTCTCTGGCCTATGCATTTGAAACCAAAACTGACCTCTGTCTGGTGATGACCATCATGAATGGAGGTGACTTAAGGTAAATTGGGTTCCTCTATTCCACATGGGAGCTGGGAACCTGGAGGGCTCAAGTGGCTCAGCTTAGGGAGGGGACCTCTGGGGCCCAACAGAGCTGCTTCCCAGGTGCAGGGAGCACGGTGACACCTGAGAAAAAGCCCACATCAAAATCTACTCCTTTCTGTCTGCCGGTTGCTGATACTCAAAATGATGTGTCCTCAGTCCCATGTGAAATGCAGGAACCCCAGGGGGGTGCTGTGGTTCTCTAGGCCACAGGTTTGTGTGGAGGGGGCGGGGGGGCCGTTTGTGGGGGTGGCAGCAACGTGAAGCTGTGGGTCGAGTGCTGGTTGGATGAATGAATAAAGAGGAGTGGTGGGGACCTCATGGGAGTTGAGGACCTTGTATTAACAAGGATGGTAAATGAAGACTAACTTAATCAATGACCCATTCTTGGGCATGATGGCAGAACTGAAAACATGTGACCACCTTTGGAACCATGGCTCTGCCTGTCATCGGCAGAGAGAACCAGGGTGGCAGCAATGTAGGGTGCCTGGATTTGCCAGGGATCTGAGGGCCCCGCTCTGGGCTCCCAGGGGAAATCACATCACTGGCTCTCAGAGGGGAAAAGACCCACTCGCAAGCTGGGCAACCTGACCACCCTTGCTTCAGCGTGCTGGTCCATGAAACAGGCATAACACTGGTGTTCAGAGGTTGTGGGGAGTAGGTGAATGGGTGTGAGACGCTTTAAGAGTGTCACAGTTGCTTACTCAAAAGGGGGGATGTCGCTGTTGCTGTTATTTACATTCTCCCATCTAGTTCCATCTCCACTGAACTCTGCAGGTAAGTTTGTTGGGCCCATTTTCCTGCTGAGGATTCTGAGGCCTTGACTAAGTAACCCCTGTGAGGTCACACAGAAGAGGAACAGAAGGGTCTAGGAGGTGCAAATCACCTGACTTAGAGCAGAGATTATCATGACGCTATACTATACTACATTATAGTATATTACACCGCACCGCACTCGCTCTGCTGCACCACACACTGCAACATTATACCCTGCTCTGCTCTGCTCCGCTATACTGTGCTGTGCTACACTATACTGTGCTGTGCTCCACTATACTGTGCTGTGCTATACCGCATTATACAATACCATGCTGCTATATTATCCTCTAGTATATCACATTACACTGTGCTGTACTATGCTACATTATACTACATTATAATATATACTATAATACTACACTATACTATACGAAGATACACTGTATTACACTACAATATAGTAGCACATTATACTGTATTATACTATACGCTATATTCAACTATATTGCACTGCAGTACACTACATTATACTACACCAAAATATACTATACTGTGCTACACTGCACTATACTAGACCACACTACACTAGACGATACCACACTAGACTAGACTACACTAGACTAGACTATAAGTGTAATATAAAAGCTGTTTATGTTATTGTTCTAGCTGTCTTGTGCTCAGGCTGATTCAAGGGTTTCTCTATTGTTTCTTTGTGTTTTTTATTAAAGATTTTTTTTTTTTTAAATACATCTTTACTGATTTCAGAGAGAGGAAAGGAGAGAGAGAGAGAGTTAGGAACATCAATGATGAGAGAGTCGTTGATTGAGCCCGCAACCCGGTCATGTGCCCTGACCGGGAATCGAACCCTGATCGCCTGGATCCTAGGTCGATGCTCAACCGCTGAGCCACGCCCGGCTGGACTCTTTGTGTTTTTTTAAAGTTTCCAGGTCTACCTCTATTCTCCCTGGTTACTATCTAGTTTAAGTAATTTATTTCCTTTTATTTGTTATGTTTTGCCCCCGTGTAAAGCGTGATAGAGGAGAACATGAGAAAGGACAGTTACGGGGTGGGGAGGCTGGGAGGAGGTTCCTGCTGCAGGCCCACCCAGGGGCCTGTCTGCGTGCTCGGGTTGGGTGAAATAACCGGCACCTGTCCGTGACTCCGTATTGACTACTTACATCTGGCGTAACTTGGGCTGCTCATGCGGACTTCCTCCGCCTCCCTCTGCCCTTGCTTGTTTGGTTGTCGATGGAGAATGGCTCTGGGGCTCATCTCTCGGCCTCTGCAGGCCAGGGCTGGGGAGGCAGGAGAGAGAGTGTACTTTGCGGCCCCATTGCCCCCATGACACCTTGGTGAAGGCCTTGAGGGTGCAGCCACCAGCTGCTGGGGGTCTTGACATTGCCGCAGGCTCTTCAGGATAACACCACGGCCCCCAAATGACCGGACACTTTACTGACACAACATGGGATTCTGAGGCCCTCCCTGTTTTCCCGAGATTTCACTTCCATCCCAACCCACACTCTTGTAGTTGTGCCAGAAAAGCACAGGCCTCCGCATAGTCTGCCTCCAGGTACCACATCTACAACGTGGACGAGGAGAGCCCTGGCTTCCCGCAGCCCCGCGCCGTCTTCTACACGGCCCAGATCATCAGTGGCCTGGAGCACCTGCACCGGAGGGGCATCGTCTACCGCGACCTCAAGCCTGAGAACGTGCTCCTGGACGACGAAGGTGACGTGGCTTCCCGGCCTGGCTCCCCTCCCGGCCTCTGCTTGCTCCCAGCTGCACTTTGTGGCCCTGTGGGTCATCTGTAGGGGGATGGGTTGGTTTTAACAAATGCCTGTCAGAGCTTTCAGTGGCACCAAGACACTTCTTAAATTTGTTCTTTGTTCCTTTAGCCTTTGCATCAGAATGGCATCGTCTCCAAATGGAGATTTTGGGTGGCCTTTGATGAAATGTGGTCCATAACGAGGCACCTAGAGTTACAGGGAGTTAAGCCAGGATGTCTATAGTGTCTGGTAAATAGTTAATATTTTATGGCCAAATTCTCACTCTGTCACTCTTTCCTTCCTGCCTTCTATGTGAAGTCAAATTGGGATTCCTAGCAGAAAATTAACAGAGATTTAGGCTTCCTTTATATCCATTTAGATTTCCCGCCCTTTCGGTCACCAAGTCACACAAATGCATGGGCATTCTCAAAGACCATTGCTGCAGAGCTTGGGGAAGAGAAAGCAGAGGAGGAAGCTGAACTTGGGTGGATTATGCTTCGAATTCAGGTTGCAGGCGGCTGATGGGACCCCTCAGTTCCTCTGTTACCTGGTTGGGGAACAGAGGCACCTGGCTGCTGAGACCTCTCTCATGTGTGCAGAGGCTGGCTCTTGGCTCCTGTGGGCTCCAGAAACACCAGGTGCCTTTATTCTGTGGAGCCTCATATGACCTCAACCCATGTTTGCTTTTCAGGCAATATCCGAATTTCTGACCTTGGGCTGGCCGTGGAGCTGAAGGAAGGGCAAACCAAGACTAAGGGCTACGCAGGGACCCCAGGTAAGGGTGTGAGAGCAAGGATGGGAGCAGCCTCTCTCAGGAGAAGTGAGGCTCTGGGGGTCCCCATGGCCTGGGGTGAGTGGCACAGTGAAGACCGGGGGTTTGTAGGGAAGAGGCTCCCTCATCCCCAGAGCAAATAGCAAAACCAGAAGGACTGGCTAGTGGGCTCGAACAGCTGCAGCAGGAGCCCTCACCCCCTGTAGGGACTGCCCCTCCCCACCTGAAAAATTACTGTTGGTTTTACCATGCTGCACCCTCTGATATGAAAGCTTCTACCTTCGATGGCTTTCTTGATTTGTGTCACAGAACCCTCCCAATCCTTGGGCTTTGGGCTTTTTTGGGATTTGTACCTGTTACCACAGTGTCTGTCCTCATCTGTGGCTTTATTTAAAAAAAGGTCCAATCTTGAATTTTCTGGATCCTCAGCCAAAATCTATGAAGTTCCACTACTGGCACAAGCATGTGGGTGGAAACACTACTTACAATATTTCAGGGTGATTCAGATTATTAGGAGAAAGTCCAGAAAACTTCAAAGCCAGGATTTGAAGTAGTTTGACCTCAAGGATATAGCCTGATCTTGTTTGTGCTGAGTGTGAGGGCCCTGCCCGCCACCAGAGGGTGCTGTAGGCTTTGCTGTGGCCACTGAGCACCTGCTTTACTTTGAACAGAGGGAGAAGCTTTCCAGGTGGGTGGTTCTCTGGACGGGATCATGCAGGTGTGGCTCTGAGAATTTGGGCTCAGGTGAGGGGTATGACCCTCAAATAGCCACAGTAGATGCTGAAGTTAGGGTAACTTAGAAGGTGAGGCATCCAGCAAAGCCACAGGGGACTGCTTCCTGGATTCTTCTTCAGCCCCTCTGCACTGTACCAGCCCTAGGCCCCACCTAGAGCCAGAGCCTCTGACCCTCTGCAATTGACCATGAACAGGGGGCTCATCTTGGCTAGTGCTGTGCTGGCCCAGTGGGATATGCAGAAGGGATATAAAGCATGCTCTCTGTTCCCAATGAGTTTTCAGCCAGGAGGGGGAGATGGGTCAATATGTGGAAGAATTAGTAACTAGACTGAAGTAGCATTAGTTCATTCATTTATTCATTCAAACAACAAAAATTTGTTGGCTCTTGCTTTGCCCCAGGCACCAGGTAAGACCCCAAGGATACAAAAAGATGCATCATTTGGGACTGAGTTGGGTGAAACAGACTAGAGGTGCCATTGAGTTATTTGTCACAGGAGGTGATCGTGTCCCTGTGGTCTGATTGGCCTGTCTCTTGGGCCCCATTTTAATCTAGAAGTTGTGGTCAGTTCAACATATCTTTTTCAAAAAGTCTGAGCAATCTGGAAAATAACATAATTCCCTGAAAAACAGAATTTACAAAGGTGTATTCAGGGCCAGGAGGTTTTTTAGAATTTGACTCCTGTAACCTCTCTGGGGAGAAATGATTCAGCAGTCACATCAGCTTGGTTGGCATTGCCAAGTGCATCTCCCTCTTGGAAACTTACCAGGAGCATGGGTATATTGAAGGACCAGGAAGAATAAAAAATAAATGGACACAATTAGCATTGCTTACTTCAGAATGTCTAAAGTCAGTTAAGCACAGAAGCCCGTGCCCAGAAACACCTGCCCCTGGTCTCAGGGAGTGGCCCCAGTAGACTGGCCTGTCTACTTTTTCCACATGCTGGTCTGGCCTCTACACAGGTCGCAGTTAGGGAGTGGAGGCCCAAATCTTGTTGACCTTCAACATGTGCAACTCAGCACATGGCCCCAAAACCTGAAGTACGACACTGACATGGCATGGGAACAGACGAGGTAATGGTAGGCATCTGACCTGCTCCCGGAAGTTGGACTGAGCCAGACACAGGTGTCTGACAATTTTTTACTTGCTTTGCTGAACATGACATCTTCTATCTGAGACAGAGGCATAAAGCATGTGATTAAGGACATATAACAACCAGACAGCACAGCACTTAGGAACACGAACCTAGCACTGGGCTGCACAGGTAGACTCCAGGCTCTAAGACCATCTCTCTCTGTGACCTAGGAGAAGTTGCCTACACTTTCTCATCCCCATGGGTGATATTGGAAGTGAGAAGACAATGGAAAAATGTCCTAGAAATAAAAGAGAAAATGATTTCCCACCTAGAATTTTATATCCAGCCAAACTATCAGTTAAGTATTAGGGTGCAATAAAGGCATTTTCAGATACAACAGTTCTCATAAACTTACTTCGGCACCCTTCCTCAGGAAGCTACTTGATCGAAATAAGGGAGTCAACGGAAAAGGGGAGTATCTTAGAAAGAGGTCACACAAGGAGACAAAAGGTTTCAGGGTGACAGGGAGATTCTAGGTTGGTGGCTGCATACCAGGGTCCATATTAGAGCAGATTAGGAAGCTCTAGAAGACTTTCTAGTGAGGATGAAGTTGATAAAATATTTAACATATCAGGATGTGACAAGTATCGGAGAACCGTCAGAGAATTTAGGGAATTCAGAAATTGATAATAAGGACATAGAACTAAGCAAATGAAAGAAAAGATAAGGTAATCTGAGAAAACCAATAAAAGCATGTCCTAAAGGAAATATAACCGGGGCTTAGTTTTTGGTTCAGTGGGGAATAGCTGAGTTGAGTGCTGACCAGCCAGATGATGTATCAGGAGAGAGAAGAGGGAGAAGTGTGTGCGGGGTGGTGGATGGAAGAGGAACAGACCCTCAGCTTCCCGAACGAGGCGTCAACTGGAGAGTCCCCCAGGGGAGCTGCAAATCCAGCAATAGAAGCTTGTCATTTAGAGGTATGGATGTTAATTCCAAAATAACCAGCTAAAAGAATACTGAGATGGGGATGAGGTGGAGGGAGAGGGGTCAGGCCCTGTGGAACTAGCTAATTCTTCATATACCTGAATAATTTTGATACAAACGAAAACTAAGTTATAGAAAGACCATTAGGTGGAGTAGTAGCAGGTTAGCTACCATACCAAAGGATTATGTAGGGATTCAAAGCTCAGATGCCTGGGTCCGAATCATTCTTTGTTACCTACTATCTATGTTATTGTGAGCAAGTTAGTTTCCTAATAGTAGGGGGAAAATAGTGGCACTTACTTTTTGGGGTTTGGAGGATTAAATGAGATCCCTTTGTATTTTCACCTGCCACACAGTAAGCATGGAAGGGGGGGTCAGCTAGGATAAGTGCTGCTAAACGGTGCTGATATATGGACCCGCATCTGTCGAGAACAAGGCCTCCTTGAGTTCTGAGAGCCTCGCTTTTGTGAGCACCATTCAGCTTCAGCCTCAAGTGTGGCTCCTGGGACAATACCCCTCCTTCTTTGGAATATCTTGGCTTAAATCTGTCCCTTTGTGTCCTTTCAGGAAGCATCTTATAGTGGCTGTCTCCGCAACACTCGTCACCACACACATCCTTAGCTGCATAGGTCACACTCGTGTCTGAGAGGGAAGCAAGAACCGCTGCTCTGTCTGCCATGGTGTACCTAAGGGAGAGGAGGCTTCACACCGGGGGCATAGAACAGAGGCTCTCAACCGAGGATAATTTGTATCTAGGACGCTTGGCAATGTCTGGAGACATTTTTGGTTGTCACAACTGGGGAGGGGTGCTAACTAGTGGGTAGAGGCCAGGGATGCTGCTCAACACTTCAGTGCACAGGGCAGCCCCAGCACAGAGGATTTCTGCCCCAGATGTCACTGTATGCATATGGAGCATCGGTTCTGTGCTCACCACCATGCTGCTGCGTCTCTGAGTCCACACTGTGCTCTTGCCTGGCAGGTTTCATGGCCCCCGAGCTCTTGCGGGGTGAGGAATATGGCTTTTCTGTGGATTACTTTGCCCTGGGGGTCACGCTGTATGAGATGATCGCGGCCAGAGGACCCTTCCGAGCCAGGGGAGAGAAGGTAGGAGGTGGCCTCGCCAGTGCCCCTGTGGCTGTCCTGGGGTTGACTCTCCTTGTTGGGTGGGTGTCCTAAGAGCAGGTGTCACCGTAGCTGACCTGGTGATGACCCTCCCTTGTGGGAGAGCTGCTTAAATCTTGAGCACTAGACTTCTTGTGGTGGGTTCTTCATGGGCAGAAAAGGGGGGACACAGCGACTTCATCTCATGTAGCTCCGGACAAAAGGAGCATTTCAGGATGAGAGGTGCTGTGACCTGTGACACATCCCATGCTGTGCCCTGACCCTGGCCTCCCACATTCCTTTCCTGGGTGTTTGCCTCAGTTGTCTCCATAAACCAGAAATGAGGAGGCTGGGTGAGAAAGGCGGCTAGGGCCTGGTGTGAACTGCAGTCTTTAGATGTGGCACCTCACCCGCCTCAGTCTGTGGGGAGGTCACGCCCACCACTTCCTTCTGCCTGGACCTCCCAGAGTGTTTGCCCCAGGCCCCAATCCTGTCCCCCCTGAGAGAGTGCTCACATGACTAACACATCAGGCACTCTGTGTCTCTGCAACTCCACCTTGAACTCTAGTAACCAATTCTCTCTCCTGACTTCCAGCAGCTCAGAAGAGCAAAGTAAGACAAATGGTGAGGGCCACGATGGAAGCTCCCAGCTCCCACCGCCCCAGCCACAACCTCTATTATCTGTGTGTAAATAAGCATGATGGGCTTTTATGAGATGCTCAAAGTGAACCAACCGTGGCCCATCAGCACCGTAGAACAGACACCATAGAGACAGGAAAGAAGGGACCTACATACATCCACAACACACATGGACCTCAAACTTGTTACATTAAATAATTTCATTTCTAGGATATTTTAGGAAAGGCGTATCTAATCTATTGTGAGAGGAATAGGTCCGTGACTGCCTGAGGTCGAGGTGGAGTGGGCTGCAGAGGGCACAGGGGACTTTTGGGGTGATAGTGGTGGCGGAGTCTCTGGAGAGTGATCAAACCCTTTGCTCAGGTCACTGAAGATGGGGCTTTGTGGTACGTACATTATACTCCATAAAGCTGGTTCAAAACAAAGCGAAATAGACGCCCCCCAGGTTTCTGTCCAGTTGGAAGACTCTCTGCCAGCTGGGGTCTGTGAGGTTGACCTTTTATTTCCTGGGTTTTTTCTCTCTCCAGTAGCTAAGGAGCGGTTATAAATGATGTTCCTTAAACTATGCTGCACCCCAGCTCTGACCAGTACCTTTAGGGTTTCACTCTTTCAAGGAGATATTGAGCCCTTTAACTGCTACTGTGCTGGGAAGGAGAGCGCACCGGGAGTTCCCGCGGCCTCTGTGAGGGGCAGGCCTCTCTCTGACAGCAGCGCTAGCCCAGCCCAGCTACCAACAGGGTCGGCTCTGGTGACGTTGGTGGTTTTGGCAGGGGTTTGACATGTTGTGCGTCCCCCTGTGCAGGTCGAGAACAAGGAGCTCAAGCAGAGGATCCTCTCGGAGGCCGTCAAGTACCCAGACAAGTTCAGCCAGGCCAGCAAGGACTTCTGTGAGGCGCTGCTGGAGAAGGACCCGGAGAAGCGTCTGGGGTTTAGAGATGGGACTTGTGATGGGCTCCGCGTCAACCCCCTCTTTAAAGACATTAATTGGAGGCAGCTTGAGGCTGGTACTGTCAGCATGCCTTTGGATCTGGGGGTCTGCAGGGGGTGGGTCTGTTAGGTGACTCTTGCTTGCCTGACCCATCCTGTTAGCGTCATCTGGGCTTAGCTCAATGTCGGCAGAGCAGGACCGCCTGGTTGATGTTTTTCCAATAGCTACCCTCCTGCCCCTAGTAAAGCCACCACCTTCTATACTCTATTCATCCCGCATGCATCCCAGGATTGAATGTTACCCGATTAGGCCTTTTGGAACACCTGCAGGAATTCAGAAAAGGCTGGATATAATATGTAGGGAATATGCTGGCTTACCTTTGATCCAAGTCTGCTGTTCTGCATTTCCACACCCTGCTTTTCGTGGATCCCATGATCCACATCAAGGCAGCATTGCTCAAGCTGTCTGCTTGGGAGAAATTCATTCATTCAACCAGCATTTGTTATCAAGTGTCACATGCAAGATCCTCTGTGTGTGTGTGTGTGTGTGCGTGCTTGTGCGCATGTGTTTGTGAGACACAAGTGTAGGACACAACTGCATGCCAAGAACTCACAGCCAGGACATGCAAACATGTGACTAGATGGCAGGAGCCCCAGAGCAGTGAGTAGTAGATGCTCCAGTAAGAAAAATTACTTTTGCAGGGAAGGGTCAGAGCAGAGGTGGATCCTGGCTGATCTGAATGTGGGCTCCACCAGGAGAGCTGTCAAGACCAGCCCAGGATGGTGTGAGGACATACAGCTCTGAGGGATCAGAACCAGGAGCAGCTGAGCCAGGAAGTTAGTCCTGAGATGTGACAGCCCAGGGTCCACGAGATGAAAAGAGGGGTGGGGTGAGAGGTGAGAGGAAGGCAGGGTCAGTCTAGGTGGGGGTCCTGGGCAACCGAAGTTCTGTATCCAGCGATTAGAGAATCATGACTCCTGAGCAGGTTACAGAGAAAAGCTGGATTTGGAAAGATGAGAAGTTCAGCTCTGAGCGTATTGGGTTGCAGGTGTCCAACCTGCGTACGGCAATACCTGGGGGAGGCTGACCTGAGGGTGTATCTGGGGTCTGCAGTGAGAGTGGGTGCGACAGGATGAGGGGTGAAGACCATGTAGGGCAAGAACACACTGTCCTTCATGTCGGGGCTCTGTGAGGGAGGCCCAGGACCCTCTCGGGTATGCTGATTTCTTTGTTAGCAACCCAGACACCCTCAGGAAGGGCAGCAGCCAGACCATGGCCCTGTCTTTCAAGCAGGGAGGATTCCTTGGCAGATGGCTGCTGCCTTCCGCTGTGTGCCATTTCACATCTGTGTTTTCTGTCTTCTGACAGGGATGCTGATACCCCCCTTCATCCCAGACTCCAGAACTGTCTATGCAAAGAACATCCAGGACGTAGGGGCCTTTTCCACAGTCAAAGGTGTGGTCTTTGAAAAAGCCGATATGGAGTTCTTCCAGGAATTTGCCACCGGCAACTGCTCCATTCCCTGGCAGGAGGAGATGATTGAGACTGGTGTCTTTGGGGAGCTGAATGTGTGGTGTGCTGATGGGCAGATGCCCAATGACATGAAGGGCATCACCGTGGAGGAGGCCACTCCTTCCTCTAAGTCAGGAATGTGTCTGATTTCCTAGATGTGGAAGAAAAGGGACCTCCCTCTGCAGCTGGCAGGATGAACAGGCCTCTTTGAGTCAGTGGAGCCCACTGGTGGTGACAGGCAGCTCCCTGGGCCGGGCCCCCTGTGTTGCCGAGCTGCTCACAGCAGGGGCAGGGGAAAGGAGGCACAGAGCCACTAGACTTCCCAGCCCCGGGGGAAGGAGCTCCAGCTTGTAAATAGTCCACTTCTTTTGCCCCATTTCACTCAAAAAAGACACAACAATGGTTCCTGGAAAGAGTACAGCAACAATGCGTAATTGTCCAGACTCCCTTGTGGACATGCAAGTTGGCAGTGGTGGTGGGCAGTTGGGGCAGATGGCTGCTTAGAAGAGAGGATGCTCAGTTTGGGTTTCCTGGCACCTTAACTGCAACTTCCAAGAGCCCTATTCCTGGTGGAGGCCTTCTCTTTGTTGGTCCAGTGGGTGATAGACCATGGCCCTCGGGCCCTGGGGAACCATGAGAGAGAGCTGGACTGTGGGCCTTGGCTTGGTCCCCTTTCACACCCAGCTCCTGTTCCTTCTGCCACCTGGTTGCTGCCAGGGCCCTAGGGACATGCCACCAGCTCCCCCTGCACCCTCAGGAGAAGAGTAGATCTTGACAATCAATGGCTTTGGAGGGTTGCTGGCCAAAACTAGGACCCAACTACCTTCTGTTTGCTCTAGAACCTGTGTAGGAAAGATGACCTGTCCCCTAAGCAGTTGTATGAAGTACAGATGATTGTTAAGTGTAGACTCTAGTTTAGTGGAGACATTTCACGTGTGTTCGTTAGAGTTACCTTATGCACATGAAGACTTTAAAGCACCTCTGGACTGGTGAAATAAACCTTCCCAGAATGATCCTTCTCTCCTGGCTGTCATGTGGTTTTGTAGATGCTCCAGAAGGGCTTTGGGCAGGCATCTAGTGCTTTTTGGTCTGTGATCCGGTACTACCACCCGGTACATCTCCCTGGGCAGGCCTAAGATGAGGGATCCAGGGGTGGAGGGATGCTGAGCTGTTAACAGGACAAATTGCTGCCCCCTTCTCTAAGTGTGGTTTTGTTTTCTAGAATAGTATATGTGGATTAGGTAATGGCAATATATTTCAGTTCACTACATTCTGGTGCAAGAAAGACCTGTTTCTGATGTTCTAAAGCTGTTTATCCTGCACTAGGTCCCCATGGTCCTGAAGGGTGATTTAAACAGCCTCAGCTCTGGCCACCATCACCATGTGCCTGTCTGGGCCCCACGGTGCCTGATGGTGGAGCCCCTCTTTTGTTGTCCCAGATTTACCAGCGAGGATCTTTCTCCCTTTATCTTATGGTTAGGTGGCCAGATAAACCACAGGACAGCCGGTTACGTTTGAACTTCAGATAAACAACAAATAATTTTTTTTAGTGTATGTCTCAAATTATTGCATAGGAAATATCCTAAAACGTTGTTCATTGTTTTTATGGCTAAATCTGGCTTAAGCTGTGAACAAGTAGTTATTCCATTGAACTCGCAGGCCGGTTGGGATATAATCACAAAAGCAACTTACTTGCGACTTCAGCTGTTTCTCAGAGTCTGTTCAGGCTGGTCTTTTTCTACTCCCCACTCCCTACCCCCAAACTCAGGTTGGCCTCATGTATTCACACATAGGCAATCAAAAGTCCTATAGTTACTTTATTTTTAAAAAACTTTTAAATCATGAAATTTCACATGGAGAAAATGAATCATGGATGCTTAGTCAATGACCACATGTGACACCCAGAGACACCCCACAGGTGCAAGAATCGGGGTGCTGCTGGCACCCCACCAGCCCCGTGTCCACGCCCTGCTGCTTCCCTGCCCAGAGGTCACCATTCATCTGCCTGCAGCCGCTTTAACTAACAGTGGACTTATGGCATTAACTTAAATGCCCTGGCCGTCCATGTGACAATCGGGACTCTAGTTACTTCAAACTTTTTCCCTAGCTGGGCTGAAGGGACGTTCCCACCCTCTGCTCTGAGCTCTCCTGCCCTCCCCAGTGAGCCTCGGCTTCTGGCTCCTGGGGTGAGGCTGAAGCGGGAGGAAGGTGGGCAGGGCGGTTCTGAGCGGCCAGGCAGGTGCCTACAGCCACTCTTTGTTATGGGGCTTCTTCATGGGTCTTTGGGGACCTCTGCTGCGGGCGTCTCTCAGGTGCAGTCCCCCTGCCCGGGCACTCCAGGGGGTCTTGCTGCCCAGCAGGGTATGACGGTCCTCACTCCAGCTATGTCCCTGCTCACCTGGGTCCATGGGCCTACTGTCCTGCCTGGGCTGCCGGGCTGCCTGCTGCCCCCAACACAGAGCAACTCATTCCTCCGCCCCAGGACTGCTGGCCTGTCCGGGCTTTGTGTTCACCCACAAAGCACTTCTTGAAGGCCCCAGGAGGCCTGAGGTGAGGTCCTCTGCAGAAAAGCCTCCATGCTGTGAGCCCGCCAAGGATTCTCAGAAACCAGGTTCCAAATCCCTACAGGGCGGCTGGTCTTAGGCACTTGGGCACCTGATCTCAGTCCTCTACGTGCACTGGCTGAAAGCCTGATGAGAAATGTCCCACTTTTACCATCCTGGGTGTGGGGTATGTGTTTAGATATACAGTTGTGGTAAGAATGTCAAGACGGCATTTCCTTAGCAACCTAACCCCTGGGAGGATGGTCAGGGCAGTGAGGGGCCCAGGAGGTGCTTCGATCAAAATGCTTTCAGGGAGACTTTCTGTTTGTAAAAACAAAAAATGCAATTTCTATGCAAGTGAAAAAGGGTTACCATAAAAGTTAAAAAAGAGGGATGAACTAGCCTGGGGGCTCGGTTGGTTGGAGTATCGTCCTGCACACCAAAAGGTGGCAGGTTTGATCCCCAGTTGGGGCATGTACAGGAGGCAACCCATCAATGTTTCTCTTGCACATTGATATTTCTCTCTCTCTTCCCCTTTCTCTAAAGTCAATAGAAACATATCCCTTGGCAAGGATTAAAAAAGAGAGAAACGAACTCTCTAGATTCTGATATGAATATTAGTTGCATTCTTTCCTTCAAAATCACATATTCACATATGCACAGACATACATACAGATACACCTATACTCATACACACATATACATGTGCACACATATATGCACACATACATACATACATATACATTCACACTCATATATATGTTTGTATGCAAACATACACATGCACACACATACATACACACACACATGCATACACATGCACACACACTTGGCCTTCATTCTCATTTCTCCATGGCTACCTGATTTTAGAAACTGCTCTCAAAGTCCCTGTTCATCAAACTTTGAATTCCAGGGCACCCGATTTGCATACTTCCACTTTGTTCCTTGTCATGGCAAGTCTCGTGTGGCTTTATTCTGCTATTCACAGTAGCTAGTTGGTCCCTACTGTTTATACATGTAAATCTCCCTTTTCCAAACCCGAGTCATGCACTTGTTTGAGATTCTGCGTATTTGAGTGGAGCCGTGGCCTGTGAGAGACAGAGCCGCCTTAGAAAGAGTCCACCCTGACCCAAGGGGCAGGCCCAGGGGGTTTATTGCGGTGAATCTACTGTGATGTGGTGTGAAATCTGCTCAACACAATAGCTAACAAAAACCAGGAGAGGTTGTAGTTAATGTGCAGTAACTGGGAGTCTTTGGGCACCAAGTGTCGTACGAGCTGCTACGGAGAAACACAGGCACGTTATGTCTCACTGTTTCCTGTTCATCTCCTGGCTTCCTCAGTTGGCCTGAAAGCTCCTCCAGGTGAGAGACCTGTCCTGGGCTTCTCTCACATGCTGCTGTGCCCACATCTGTGCCAGCTGCTCCCTAACCGCCTGCCCAACTGAGGGAGCAGACATTTCCTCTAAAACCTTGAATGACTTGCATTTGTTGTAAATTAAATGAAGTCTCTTTTCTGTTCTGCCCCACCCACCTGTTTACCCATGAGATACTGTGTGAGAGGAAGGCTGTTAACGCCGACAACTCCAACAAGAACCAGAATCTATAACACAATGCCCAAAATATCCAGGATAAGTTGGACAGTCACTGGTCATACCAAGAACCAGGAAAACCCCAACTGCAATGAGGAAACACAATCACAGTGTCATTGCAGGAATGACTCAGATGTTGGGATTCTTTGACAAGGGTTTTAAAGCAGCTATCACAAAAATGCTTCAACAAGAAATTAAAAAAATCTTGAAGCAAAATCTCAGGAAAGAGACAGGACAATGGGACTGTGGCCACAGTTTGAGTGGGAGGGGCCATTCCATGGCTGTCTGGGTGACGTAGGCAAGACACGTAGGAGACATGCTCAGCTCTCCCCCAAAGTCTGCACTGTCCCCTTCTTGGTTGGCCATGGGGACACCCCAAGTGGGGCCCAGCCTTGAGCTCCCAAGGGCCTGACCAGGGTGACTGGAGAGACTGCTTACCAAACATTTGGGGTCCTGTCTGATCACTCACACACATGTTACACTCCCAAAATTCTCATTTTCTCCTTTATTGGGTTATTTATTATACTCATAGCCAGCTGATTTTTTTCTTGTTTACGGTCTTCATAGATTTGCTAACTATATAATTACCCAACATGTGCTCAGCTGGAATGAGCCTTAGAAAGGCTGAGCACTGGGGGACATTTGTAAGAGTGTCAGCAATAAAAAGAGAGGGGGAGAGAGAGAGGGAGGGGCTGAGTATACCTCCTTTTATTTCGTAACAGTATTTCCTCCAGAGAGGGTTCAAACACACAAGTGGGCCTCAATGGAAAACAAAACACAGATCACAGGCATTATACCAGCTGATAGAAGAACAGTTTTGAAAGAAAAACCTCAATTTGGAAATATCAAACTAAAAAATGAGTAAGAGAGACACTCAGGTAATACCCGGAGAATTTAAAATGAAGACAAGAAGGCTTGCTTTGATTTTGTAAAAATCAAACCTCAATTCCCCAGTTCCAGTAAAAAATGTTCTTCCAAGTTCAACCTTCTTACTTGTGAGACACATGGGCTGAGGGATAAAGGTTA